TCACTGAGACTACAGGAAAACATTGATGTGGCTATTGTGGGCCTAAAGGGACAAAAAAGCATGCAGTAAATGTGATTTATGTTTATTTTAAAGAATGGATTAAATATTTCAGCCATACGCACACTGAGAGCCTCTATTGTCAGTTTCACCTCGCCTTCTATTAATACGGTATAAAAGCATCATCCTCCTCTTCTGCACACCCTGTTTCTTCATCATGCTAACCTTTGCAGACAAAAACAAACTCACCCGTATCACAAATAATGCTTCCAAAACCATTAGTCTGCCCACCCATAAACCCAGGACCCCTCTCACCCACTCCTCTCTTTTCTGCCATGAGGTCGGAGATTCAGGACTCTGACCTGGACGAGGGCGCGCTTTAAAAAGAGCTCTGTTCCCTCGGCGTCTGAAGCTCTTAACAAGCTTCCACGCTGATTGTCGCTTTGGCTGCTTTGATTACTGTTACACAGTTTGAGTGTTTCTTCCTATGATTGAACCCCTGACCTTCCGGTTGAGAGACGGCCAACTATACCAACTGAGCCACAGGCCACCCTAAATAGAGCTCAACGGTGACCGTCGACTTTTTCGGCGTCTCTGGTTCCGGAAGTAAATTTCCCCCGTTAAAATCCTTCGTTAACATTTCACTAAATCCTTATATCAAGATATTGAAGCCTGTAACCATGACAACCAGCTACCCCAATACTCGTTACTATAGTACATTTGATTCAGCGCCAAAAGGGGGGGGGAACAGAGAAAAAGGAAAAGGTACAAGATTCGAGGAACTACACATCCCACAATCCATTGCGTATGATATTGTTTCTTCTTAAAATCTTGTTATCTTTTTTATACTGTCAATATAAGTGTTGTACTATCTCGTAGTTTGTGTTTTTGTCTAATATATAGATTACATTCAACCTAGCATAACTAGCGAAACTGTCCGTTCACATACGGTGCTGGGGGGGCAGGAAACATTGACATAGTAATAGCGAGCTCAACCAATCAGAGACGTCACTGTGACACTCTATGATGGTGGGTAGTGTAGTTCTTTGCCCTGATATCTTGGACAAATCATGTTTTAGGTGTCTTGTGTCTTCTACAGGAGCATAAACCATCGTTTCACACTGAGGTAGCTCGTGGTCAGTCTACCTGAGATGGTTATGACATTATGGCTTATAATCAAATCCACTATGGAGAAAATAAACAGGATTTTTACTTCCTGAACCTCACTGTTGAGCTCTATATGGACCTTAATCGCGTCCTAATTTACGGTAACAGTGATGCTCTAAACAGGTTCTCACTCTGACCTCGTCAAATACCTGGCAGCTTTGTCTGTGGCCTTTGCATTTGACTAAAGGAGAAAGAATAAATACATTATATGATGCCCTAAAGTAGCAGCATTGATTTGTAATGAATTTTTCAGCTCTCGCCCTTGTTAATATGTGGTCCTCGGCGCTCGTGGTGTTTGTTTTTTCCTCTAAACAATCTGCTTGAGGTCTGGAAGACAAATTTAATGAAACTCTCTATTTCCCCTCACACACACACACACACACACACACACACACACACACACACACATACACAGATACACACACACACACACACACACATGCATATCACACCGTACGCATCATCCATCCGTGCTCAATTCCCGAACATCTTCCACTAATTGCCTCCGATCTCCAGTGAGGCTTCTTGAGAAAAACTCAACCTCTGTTACCACGGAAACAGCATCATACCCTTTCCCACCACAACATCCTCTCGGTCACATGTACATGAGCATGTGTAGCTCTAAATCTGACCACGCACACACACGCATGCACTAACACAAACGCACGCACACACACACACACACACACACACACACACACACACACACAAACACACACACACTAATGCAGGCATTAAGTCCACACTCTCCGTGATGTTAGTAAACAGGAAACAGATGTCATGCAGTCACCAGCGGATCAAGTGAAATAATGATTCTGCTTCTGGTCTTGATGATGCACCGTGTACGAGTTAAAGGGCGGTTCTGTTATTTAAAAAAAAAAGTTTTATTCCTACACATTTACTCAGAATCTAAAATTACACCTAAAGATATGAACTCATCTTCCTCTTTTATCGCTTTCTCATCAATCTCTATCATTTACTTTTCTTTTATTGTGAAACACATTGAGACAGTTTTATCATAGTTTAAGGTGAGATGATTATTTTGAAGCCACTTTGACACTCCAGACATTTCTTTTGAGAGGATCTCTGCTGCCATCTTAGCGGTCTTTGCAGACACATATATAACTGTGTTGTCTGCATACATTTGACTCTTTTGTCTGGTAAATCATTTATATATAAACCAAAAAGTAAGGGCCCTAAAATGGAACCTAGTGGAATTCCCATTATGCAAGTTTGAACAGATGACTGAGTGGAATGTGAATGAATGGGATGAGTTAACACTTATGGACTCTATACACAGCAGCCTCTACCATCAGGTTGTGAATGTGTAGGTGTGACCTGCGGTGTAAAAGCACTATGAGTAGTCAGAAGACTAGAAAAAAACGACACAAGCTCAAGTCCATTTATCATTTATACTGCAGCCAGTCAGCAGTGGGAGCTCCAATCACTTTGGCTTCACTTTGTGGGAGCTGTCATGTCGTCCATCTTTTGTTTGCACAGCCTGTGGTTTAGAGTCTGGTGGCTTTGAAGGGAGTGATGAAGCAGCTTAAAGTCCACTCTGTTTTAACACCACCTCACCGTCTCTTTGTGTTCATCAGCTTTCGTCGCTTTACTTCAACTGCGCATGCAAACAGTTAAGAGGATAGTTTCTAATATTAATGTCTGACTACATTCTTCATTCTGTTCCAGTGTTTTACATCCTTTGTCTCACAATCCTTCAACATGTCATCACTTTACCTTTTCATTATACAGGCAAAATATCCGACTCTCCTTTCCCCCAACTGCTGCACTGATTTTTCTTTCAAAAGAGAGAATAACCAGATGAACAACTACAAAATGAATGAGTACATTTGGTATGAAAATTCAGCTTATGCAGACGCAGTTTCCATATTTTATAGCGACGCATTTCTGAGAGTTTTTAAAATCCTTCCACCAACTGAGATCAAAGCAAGGCTGTAAAATGTCTGAAGCTCCTCAGCTCTAATCCTTTCCCGCCCTCTCCGCTCTTCTTCCTCTTTAAGCTTTTATCATTCAGTATTTCAACAAAACTGAGCAACAGTTGCAGCACTGCTTGGGTTATCCCATGAATACATTAGCCTGACTTCTCTTTGACTCCTTGTTTTGTCTCTGTCTCAACTTTGCATGGACGTTTATGTGTTATTTCCATTCCAGTAAGTTGTGTATCTCAGGGTTCACGAGTGAGGGTAGGATGGATGTAATGTGGGCGCTGTATAGGACGAAGGTGAAGAAGGACGTAAGCCTGAAGGCAAAGCTCTCAATTTACAGATCGATCTTCGTTCCAACCCTCACCTGTGGTCATGAGTTTTGGGTAGTGACACCAGCCTTAGAGATAGGGTGAGGAGCTCAGACATTTGGGGTAGCTCTGAGTACTGCTTCGCATTGAAAGGAGCCAGTTGAGGTGGTTCGAGCATCTGACTAGGATGCCTCCTGGACGCCTCCCTTTGGAGGTTTTCCAGGCACGCCCAACTGGTAGGAGACCCGGGGTGGACCCAGAGTTCGCTGGATGCATTACATATCCTATCATATCATATCCATATAGGCCATGGAAACACCTCGGAATCAGGAGGGGCTGGAAAACATTGCTGAGGAGAGGGAAGTTTGGGTTGACTTATTGTGCTTTCTGATGTCGCAGCCCGACCTCGGATAAGCGGAAGAAAATGGATGGATGGATGAATGTCTCAAGACGTGCAATCTCGGAACTAATTGAATAAAGGTTGAGAAAAATATAGCCTCGGGGGGGGACAATTAACCTTTCAGGCATGCTCATCGAATGGAAAGCCATAAATTGATTACAATTTGTCTGATTCCTGATGCTAATGTAGTGCGCATCTTGCAACCCTTAACAAATCTATTTGTTGTTTACATTTTATACTGCAGCTCTCCATTAGTTGCACTAACAAAGACCAGGCCAAGAAAGATATGGATCTATAACAATTTATTGTAATGTGCATGGCAGAGATCGAAATGAGGAGTGAGGTTGGATGATGAGAATATTATGAGGGCCGAAAGATGAAGATGATGAAGAGACCAGGGTAAGGGTCAAGGGGTGAATAGATGGAGGGATGAGGGTAAGAGAGAGGTTGGACCACAGACTGTAAATATGAATGTTTGAAGCTTGAGTGACGTCACCCATCTGTTCCTGTAGCGGGCGCTGTAGTCCTATTGATGGCGGTCTCCATGCTGGAAATGTTGTCTCTGCCTAACTTTCAGTCAACCTAACGACAGGCTGAGAGCTGGAGCTGAGGCGGGTTTTAAGCCTCCTGACAAACCGTTACACCGCGCCTACCTGTCAATCAGGTCAGCTACACACCTTATTGTGAATAACTCATCAAATCAAAACTGAGTCATCAAAATGTCTTCAGGCTGAATATGGTTTTCCCATAAACTTATTTTTAAGACAACTTTTGAACAACACCGGTCCGCACAGCAGAATGAAACAACTCTTTCTTTCACAGTCGGATCAGTGTATGTGTGTATGTGTGTGTGTGTGTGTGTGTGTGTGTGTGTGTGTGGAGGTGTTGCAGACCTCAGTGTGACTTTTTTAAAAGACAAATGTCCCCGGTGACTAACTCGGACGCCTGTGAGAGCTGCCTTTTATTCATTTCACGGTCTTGAAGGTTACCTCCTGCAGCCTATGAGTCACTCGGGAACAGTCGCTCTCTGCCAGATTCTTATAAAAGATCATTTTATTTGTTCCGCCGTGACGCAGACACTGACTCACATCCAAGTATAAATAACGAGTGTGAGAATGCAGCTGGAAAAGTGTGATATACTTTTTATTAACGCTGTTGTTTTTTCTTGTCTTCTTCCTGCAGACGATCCTGGTCGGGGACAGCGGCGTGGGGAAGACGTCTCTGTTGGTGCAGTTCGATCAGGGAAAGTTCATCCCCGGATCCTTCTCTGCTACCGTGGGCATCGGATTCACGGTGGGTGTGCACATAGATCATTTATCGTTTACACACAGAACCAGGAGGTTACTGGTCTGAATCCCCGTCTGACAGCAGCATCTGTGTGGAGTTTACATGTTCTCCCCGTGCATCAGGGGTTCTCTCTGGTTACTCCTTCAGAAACTTTTTTAGGAGTTTTTTGCAGGTGTGAACAAGGCTAATGAGAACCTGTTCAAAGAGGCTCCTCCACACTCCTAGCATCTCGCTCTGCAGGAGTGTTGTAAAGGTCACATGTTACCAGTGGGCCAGTTGAGAGGCCAGCCTTAGTATAATGATGATGATCTTCTCATTTTATGAGCGGAGTGTGGGCTTTCTCGCTCCATGTCCTATTATTGACGGTGAGAAGGCAGACTCAGAGGGCAGAACAAATACCTAGCTGTGGGAGTGTCACCTACCTGGGGGAGGGGTTACTGCCCTTTGTGATGTCATGAAGGGAAAATCTCCAAACGGCCTCTTTGAGCACACATTTTCTGAAAAGTGGAGCAGACAAAAGACGGAGAGTATGAACTCATCATTGGGGGGTTTGAAGACAGACTAGAGACACATATTAGTGTTAGAAAAACATGGTGAATAGATGTTTATATAACATATGGTCCTTTAATGAGTTGTTGAATCCTAAAGGAAGAATATGCAACTTTTTGATCCAGTGGATGAGCACCAGCATGAAACCAAAACAACTTGCGCTGCATTGTTGTGTTAGCATGCTAATGCTAGCGATCTTTATTTAGCTCGTATCTTCACACTGCATGTAAATTTACACGAAATGACCGTGATCTAAAAACACTTACGTGACATTCAAATAAGCAGTGAGTACAGTATGTTATTCTTCTTTTCTCTAGTCCCTCAATTAAACAACTTTTATACGCAAGGGGACGACCCGGCCGGCCGTCCCGTCCATGTAAACACGCTGTAGAGACGGCTCGGAAAAGATCCCAGACAGCGGGACTCGGGTGTCACACTCATAACATTCATGGCTCACAGAGGTATTTTCAGAGGATACTTAATTTCTGCTACATTTAAGTGTGAAAAATCACATATTTTCTTCCTTTAAGATGAACACTTTCAGAGATCTTGAGTGGAGGCAGAAATCTCAAAACCTGGCAGAACAAAGAGAAACACGGCTTCTGTAATTGTATGTAACTGTTCCCTCATTATTTAAAACCTGTTTCTGTTTCTCTCAGAATAAAGTGGTGACTGTAGACGGAGTGAAGGTCAAACTACAGGTCAGTAAATAAATCAGTCCCAGTGAAAACTTGACGTGCTTTCACAATGAAAGTCTATTTTTAGAGCTTCCTCTCTGTGTGTGTTTTGTAACTGAAAATTAGATGAGGCCAAGTGGAACCAGGCCAAGTCACCGAGCATGGCTTCTTTTTTTATATCTTTCTGTTTCAGATTTGGGACACAGCAGGACAGGAGAGATTCAGGAGCGTGACACATGCATATTACAGAGACGCACACGGTACTTACACCAGAAACAATCGTCTGTTTCTCAGCCTTTTTATTTTCTCACAGCATAAAAAGTAGAACTGTGCAGCTTTATATATATATACATACTACATGTTTATCTGACTGTTTTCTTTCTCTCCAAAGCTCTGCTCCTCCTGTACGACATCACCAGCAAAACCTCCTATGACAACATCAGGGTGAGTCTTCTGCACAGAAGGAAAATCAACCTGTAACAAAACAAATAAAGCCAAAGAGAGCATGCAAATGTCTCTGCAGATCAACTCTTAATAACATAAATGTAAAATAACATCCTCATAATTGTTCTCTCTCTTTCGGTGTGTGTTTTGTGTGTGTGTGTGTGTGTGTGTGTGTGTGTGTGTGTGTGTGTGTGTGTGTGTGTGTGTGTGTGTGTGTGTTCTTCTTACAGGCATGGCTAACAGAGATCCATGAGTATGCACAAAGCGATGTAGTCATCATGTTGCTCGGCAACAAGGTGAGAGGAGACACTCTGAGAGGCTCAGCAAGAAAGAGAGAGAGTTCAGAAGACAGAGATGGATGTGACCTGTGATGGGAAACTGTGGCTTCTTTCGACAGAATAGATATAAGAATCATGTTTTATATACAATTAGATTCATGTAGTACACAACGATACAGAGAGAAACCAATGGCAGGACTCAGTTTGTGTTTTAAAGTGTTAAAGATCTCCAGGCTGAGGAAGTGTACAATCATGCCAAAACAAATTAAGGTTATACATTTCTCAGCTGGGCATGAGCAGACACATTCCTCAAAGCAGTCACTGCTGAATGTTCCTCGAGTTGGATCTGAACTTGGTTAGCTTTTTTTATTATTCTGCACCTGACTCTATGAAGGAGATACAACATCGCCTTTAAAGGAAGAATGTGCAACATGACTGTCTACAATGAGTGAGAAGCTTGAGTCCTGCTGGCTGTGTTGTTGTGAGAGCCGTGTTTACATGGACGGGACGGCCGGCTCCTCCCCTTGTGTATAAAAGCTGTTTTAGTCAAGGACTGGAGAGAAGAAGAACGTACTCACTGATTATTTGGATGTTAGTAAGAGTTTTTAGATCAAAGTCATTCTGTGTCAGTTTACATGCAATGTAAAGCTACGAGCTAACTAAAGAGCGCTAACATTAGCATGCTAACACAACAATGTAGGACACAGGTGATTGCAGCTCGAGGCAAGGACGAGTATGTCCGCCACTTGCGCTCGACTCCTCTGTGCGAACGGGAGTATAGGGGGGTTGGAGGTGTGTCGCTGGAGGAGAGAGGAGGCGTCGCCTATCAGCAGTTTGTCTTGGTGTCATGCTGATGCTCAAGGGCGACATCTACTGGATCAAAAAGTTGCACATTCTTCCTATAAGAGCAATGAACTTATACGCTTTGGACAGTTTAGATACCGGATTTTAAACCGGGACACTTACTTTACTGTGTCTTTATTGTGAGGGAACAACAACACTGCGTTTCGCCTGTAGCTTCCTCCGGTGTGCTCAGCGTTTTTTATTTATTGTTTTTATTTTTATTATATTCTTTGAGGTCACTCACTTCGTTTGTTTCTGTGTTTGTCTGTTTTTTATTTTTCCCTGTTTGGCATTGTGATTTATTTATGTTGACATGTTTTCTCCCCATCGTTTCATTTGATAACATAGCAAATACGCTCTTTATAAATGATTGTTTAACAGTGCTTATAATTAAGTTTTACTAGCTTACTTACTTTTCTTTCTTTTCTTCTCTGCAGGCAGACATGAGCAGTGAGAGAGCGATCAGGAGAGATGAAGGAGAAAGGCTGGCCCGGGTGAGTCTTTTTTTGTTCATTAATAAAATTAAATAAAATTAATAACATTTCCAATACACAAGCGACAAAAAAAACAAATCTCTGCATACTTCTATAAAGGCTCCCTTTATAATAAGAATGTTCAAAAAGGATTTAGGATGAAGGAAAAAACATGCATCTAGTCTTAGACCTTTTTTCTCAACTTCATCCTTAAAGGAGCAATATGTAACTCTGACACCTAGTGTTTAAAATTAGTACTGCAGTCCAAATTCTAAACATTGGAGTAAGCTTTCTCCCCCCGCCCCCTCCTCTCTAGAGTCGATGCTCACGCAGGTTGCCATGTCATGGACTCTGAAGCTTCAGTGTTTAGCCAGCTCTGCCTCGGTCTGTGAACCTTTCTGCGTTCTAACCTCTCTCCATTTTTCAAAAGCATCTCCAATATTGATCCTAGTTTGAGCACGTTTCTGCTCGTGGAGCTTATTAGAAACATGCAGAGGCTTTTTAGGTCGGGTACAATCACTTCTATCTGAACCAGTTCTCTCGCCTGCTTCCATCGCTGCAACACCTGTTGGTTTGACCTGATAACTGGTCTCATATCTGGCAAACTGAGGGGCGTCTAAAACGGCCATGTTTGGGTGCCTTAAAACCGCCTACTTTCTCTGGTCCAAACAAATCCAGAGCATTCAGGAGCAGAATCTAAAGTTAGAAGGAGGACATACTGGCTGCTGCATTGTTGTCAGAGAAGCCAGAACTTCAACATAGCATGTTTCCTTAATGTCTGATCATATAGTAAGGTCACTTTATTATTATAGTCACTACATATTGGACCTTTAACTGACTTCATGATCCTTCCTCTGATCCTCACTGATTTTCTTTCTTCTTCACGTCTGCAGGAGTATTCAGTCCCCTTCATGGAGACGAGCGCAAAGACAGGAGTCAACGTAGATCTGGCCTTCACTGCTGTGTCCAAGTACGCAAATTTATTCCATTCAAATCAAACTGTTTGCTTTTTGTTAACCAAATGACGATACAACTCCTGAGGGGGTTTCTTAAACGGCCTTACTGTATATATTCACCAAAAAGATGTTAGCTGCAACACTGATGCAAAAAGAGAAGGAAGTTAATGAGACGACCGTCCTTAATTTGTCACTGCCACTGTCAGATATTTGTCGCAGGCTATCTTTGGTTGTATGACCGTGAGATTGGTCATCTTTGATCCTCTTTCACAGAGCGACGAAGGACCGCCGTCTTGGAGTCACAACCACATATATGACCACGATTGATCATGTTTCGTCTGTGATGGCCCAAAGTCGTACTGTCTGTACCCGACTTAATGCAGAATATAATGCAAAAAGAGGCACAAGTGACCTTTTCTTAAAACTGCTAATCATTCCACTCCTTAATCTCCTTGTAGTTTTTTTTTTCTGTTTTAATTGTAAAAATCGACGTGTTCAGAGATCATCACTTTGGTCCTTCTCAGTAAAACCTTTGGTCATGAAGCTTACACAGCAGGCTTCACAGATGGTCGAGTAAAACTGCTCCACAGTCATTATTCACTCCGCCACATTATGGATTTCATTTCAGGGTTTTGAAAAGAGGTTCTGAAGTGTTTTCATAAACTGTGTGACGTCTGCTTCTGTCCCTTCAGGGAGCTGAAGCATCGATCCGTCCAGATTCCCAATGAGCCCAAGTTCCAGATCCACGAATACATCGAAGCACAGAAGGAGAAGTCCAGCTGCTGCAGCTACTTCTAAAGCTCGCCGCTGAGTCCTCGTCCTCCTCCCACCGCTCAGACTGTCAGAGACACGCCGGGAGCTGCTGAGTGGGAGGAAGTCAGATTAAATCATCGCTTGCTCCCAAAATATGAAGCTGCCGTTTCATTCAAGACTGCAGGCCGAAAGTAGATCAATGAGCGAGAGGAGAAACCAAGATATAGACTCTGACACCCCCATGCCTCTCTGCCACAAATGAGCAACTGAATATAATTTCAGTTAGTTCTATATTATATTAAGAGTTTAATGCGAAAGATATCCTCATCCTATTTGCTTTCTTTTTCAGAGTTAGATCAGAAGATGCTCTCATGCAGATCTTTAAGATACCTCGGCACTTTTTATATCACAGACAAAGCCATACATTTAAATCAAACACTCGGTATCTTCCTGAGTAATACAAAAGATTTGTGCCATTTCAGATATTTTTTGCTTTTTAAAGATTTATTTTTGGGCTTCTTTTATGTTTTTATGTGAGAGACAGGACATGGGATTGAGCTGGAAATCAGGGCAATGAAGAGAAGGGTTGAAGGTTGAATGAGTCAAACTTGTCAATAGAAAGATGCCGGTCAGCTCCGCCCCTTTCAGGAGAGACTGGGCAGAGTGCAAGGACAGAAGCTCCTAGTCCTCCAGGCCAGACCCTCAATATCCAGCTTGGTACAACCAAACTCATACCAACAAAGTCTGCAGGAACCTGGGTGTCATGATTGATGACCAGCTGACATTTAAGGTTCAAGTGGCCTTGATTATCCGATCATGTCGGTTAGCCCTGTACAACATCAGACCTTACGTGTCAGAACATGCTACACAGCTCCTGGTACAGGCTCTTGTGATATCACACATTTACTATTGCAACTCTCTACTGGCAGGTCTTCCTACATGCACTATCAAACCCCTGCAGATGATACAAAATGCAGCAGCATTAAGTGGCTTGCTAGCAGTAAATTATACTGTGCTGTAATTTATCAATATAGCGCACATTTACCCCAATGTTGTTATTTAGCTCAGTTTCTTGAAATTAGCTAAGTTTCATAGAGCATACGGTGTCATCGGCATAGCTGGATACTCTAGCTCCCGTGTCTGAACTCTGCCTGTCTCTCCCTAAAGGGTCCATGATAACCAGCATCTCCTGAGGTTAATAGACTTACCATTGACAAGTACCTCATACAGCCCCAAAAATACAAAACTATCCCTTTAAAGGTCACATATTCTCCTACTTTTCAACCAGTTTAAATACATCTCAGCTCCCCAAATCATGTCTGCGAAAATTCTTCTTCTAAATCCACTCTGATCCTGTATTTGATCATGCCTATAAACCCCTCTATTTCAGCCCTGCTCAGAACAGGCTGTTTCTGTGTCTGTAGCTTTAAATGTAAATGAGCTGTGTCTGACCACGCCCCCTCTCTGGAAGGGCTTGGGTGTCTCGGGCTTTCTCGCTCCATGTCCTATTGTTTAAGGTGAGAAGGCAGACTCAGAGGGCAGAACAAACACCTAGCTGTGGGAGGGTCACCCACCTGGGAGAGGGGTTACTGCCCTTTGTGATGTCATGAAGGGAACATCTCCAAATGGCCTGTTTGAGCACACATTTTCTGAAAAGTGGAGCAGGAAAAAGACGGAGAGGATGGACTTTTCTCATCATTTGGGGGGTTTTAAGACAGACTAGGGACACATATTAGTGTTTGAACAACATGGAGAAGTGATTCCATAATATGTGACCTTTAAGCATACTAAACTAAACCAACCACATCCCGACTGAAGCATAAAACTGATATTGATTTTGATTTTCTCATCAAACAAAGTTGATGGTTGTATTTCCCCAAAATGTTTCAGATAATTTGTTCTTGGCAGAATTATATACTTTTTGTTTTAATTCTTTGTACACATATTTTTCAAAGTGTAGTTTGCCTTTTATAAATCTCCGCTGATGGAAGTACAATGGACGTTACAGACACCCCCGTTTTGCCAAAAGGAAGGATATTCTAAACCTTCATCCACCCACACCGCTCTGACAGAAGCCAGAAGAAATGACAGATTATAGGCAGATTTACTGTTACAGTTTGGAACCACTTTGAAAAACCAACATGGCTGCAATGTTGTGTACTGTGCATCTTACCAACAGCTCCAGGCAAAGGCCACACACTGTGTGCAATTCAAAGCCAAGAGCATGGACAAATGCTTTGTCTGTCTGTGACTGTCCGACGGGTTATCAATTCTATAAATGTTGTGGATAAGAGACAGGCAGCTGCTGTTGAACGCTTGCTGATTCAGGAGAAGCTCAGGGACACAGCTGGGGAAAACGTGCTCTGAGCGCCTCAAAGACGACTGTGAGACAACAATATTTCTGAAAATACGAAGGAACCTTAAAATATGTCCATGAAAAAAAATGCTGTGATCACTTAAAAGGTGTCTGTGGCGATCTATTCCTTCTACAAACTCCTGAAAAACAGCTGCTTGGTTAGTGGTCCTGTGCTTTTTTAAATATGACGATCCAGGTTCCCCTCAAGCTTCAGTTTATCAGGCACATGGGTTACTGGGTCATGTTAGCAATAAGAAACAGGTAAATTACAGAAAGTGCTTCTACACTTGCACAAAAATATGCAGATATTCAACAAACTCATCGGAACGAGGAAAACTAGACCTACACTTTTAGCGCTTCCACACTTGCACAAAACTTCTGAAAGTTTTCTGAGTGAGCTGCGTGTTTGAACGCATACACACTATATTATCGTCAGATACTGTCCGCCAAAATTTCAAGTAAACACTCGACCTCTGCATCGGACCAATATGTACCCTTTGCCACCATTGTTTCAAATGACTGTCGTGAGGATCGGTTGCATCAATAACACACCATGTCCACATAAATTATATAGAAGTCAACTTCTTATTAATAAACACTTGTGATTGGTTTCACAGAGATATTGAACCCAGGCTGATTTCAAAAGCACAAAGTGTTTTAAAGGAAAGCATTTGAGGCGTGAGGAGAACCTAAAGTGTTGTATTTTAAATAGTTGGGCCACCAGCCAAGCCGCTGAGTTTGTTAGTTTGGGGTGAGAGCTGCTGGATTTTTGGTTGTGTTAACAATGTCGTCTTTCATCTGGGAATCAGGCGAGCTGTATTTGTGACAGATTTTTGTACATTGTTAATCGAAACGATGGCTGCAATATTTTACTCATCCCGAAAAATCTTTATCTTGCTTCTGTGGCCAAATAACGGACTTTACAGCTCAGTTGCATGTTTGCTGGTTTGCATGAACCAAATCTGTGCTCAGTGCCTCCGGAACGTTTGAAACTATGTTTATATTTGTATGAATATCGACTCACAGTGATGAACATATTTAAGATTATTCTCTTCAGATTTTAACACAGTGCTCAGGGTGAAATTTTGGTTTGAAAAATTAGATGAAGTGTTCCCACATCTTTACACTGAAGCTGCATTTATTTATTTATGAAGACTTTTTGTCCACTTGGGGGCAGCAGAGGAAGATTTAAATATTACATTGACATATTATTTCCTCTAGAGAGTTTTTTTGGGAAACCACTGCATTTAAAGTTTCACTATGGATAACATCAAGTTGGGGTTGAGTTTCTGGCCACCCATCGTAGGTCCTTTAAGCTCTGCTTTGGTCACTACCCACTGCTGAGAGATTATCAGTCACTTAAATACATAGACTGTTAAATACAAACATTTTTACCAGCTGGTTGCTTTATTTTTTACCTTTGGACAATGAACAGGGGGGTCAAGATGGCCGTCTTTGCTGGCTAACATTGAGTCATTTCTCATCTGGTTAAACTTGCAAAACTTCAACCTCAAATGTAGTTTATTGTCCTAACCTTTGACCCCAAGATTGAACCTACAGAGGAGCTCATGCCTGATTCGAACTTCTAACAATTACTATTTTGTGTGTGTTTTTGGTCTATTCACTGAATTTGTTGCCAAGAAGAACAAATTAGACAATACAGGCAACTTATTTTATTTCTAGTGAATTTAATGTATTTGCAACATCTTGAATTGTCACTGATTTTGACTGAGGAATCCATCTTTGTAAAGTTAAGAGTTTATAAGCAAAAATCCATTCATCAATTTTTTCCCCGAGTACCCGAGGTTGAGTCAACCCAGACGTCCCTCTCCCCAGCAACGTTTTCCAGCTCCTTCTAGGGGATTCTTAGGCGGGATATATAATCCCTCCAGCGAACTCTGGGTCTACCCTGGGGTCTCCTCCCAGTTGGACGTCCCCAGAGGCCCTCCAGATCAAGGCGTCCAGAAGGCTTCCTAATCAGATGCCTGAACCATTTCAACTGGCACCTTTCAATGCAAAGGAGTAGCAGCTCTACTCCGAGCTCCTCTGAAATGTCTGAGCTCCTCCCCTATCGCTAAGGCTGAGCCCAGACACCCTCTGGAAGAAACTAGATTCAGCCGCTTGTATCTGGGATCTTATTCTTTTGGTCACTACCCAAAGCTCCTGACTACAGGTGAGGGCTGGGACAAAGAGCGACCTCTAAAGCTCAGCTCTCAGCTTCCTCTTCACCACAACGGTTAGGCACAACGTCTGCATAAATGCCAACGCTGAGCTAATCCGCCCGTGATATTGCTGAAGTAGGTCTATTGTTTTACATCAAATAGTGAACTTTTTTGTAATTTAACGGAGTGGTTTTGGTTCCTTTCTCTAACCAGACTGAACAACTTATTTAGGTTCAGGAAAAGATAGAATTTGTCTAAAAAAAAAAGACATCACCCAGGTTAGCACATCAGCATCCTAAAAAAATCCACCTCACGCGAATTCTGTTCTTCATTTTTTAAAGGTGTCATAATCCAAAAACTACATTAAAGAAGCAACAAAAATGTGCTTGTAATTCTTCTAATACCTTTTTATACATTGCACAAATGTATTTGAACTATTATTAAAATAAAATAAAGATGAGTGCAGCTTTATGAAAACAATGATGTCAGATTATCAGCTCTTATAACAGGTTTTACAGGTGGAGAAACCTGCTGAACAACAGTATGCAAATATGTCATAATGTTCCTTTTATATTTGGATGCTTTTACTGAATTTAAAGAGTCCAGTTATGCAGTTTATAATCTAAATATATTCAGACTGTGGCCATTATAAACTGTATATTTATAAAAGGGTGTTTGTTGTTTACGCTGCAAAAAGTTGTCTTTGATGTGTTGTATGCTGCATAAAAATAAAGTATTTTTAACCAAGCATCGTTTATATGGAACAGTGTTCCCCCATGCAGTCACAGGTGGTTAACTGCAGCCACAAGGGCGCGCGCGTGTGTTTGAGTGTGGGTTTGTTTGAAAGAGAGAGAGAGGGGGGGGGTGGTTAACATAATCAAATAACCACAAAACAAATGACAACAAAATGCAGTTACTATCTTTATGTTGTCTTTAAGTGATTTCAGGCACGAAACGGAAGTCAAAACACGTGCCGCTATCAAAATTAAAAACACGGTGAAGCTAGTCAAACTTACAGGACAAGACACACGCTTCCTTTCTGCAGGTGTGGCTTTCAAAATAAAAGCTCAAGAATTAAAAAACTTTTTGAATAGGCGTAGGCAAGACAAAAGAAACTATTAAACCGCTCATACACGACTGAAAGAATGAATGCTATTGGTGAAATATGTTTTTCTTGACATTTTGAGTCCTTTACAAAAGCATGAGTTTTCGTATTTATCCTGCACGGTGACAGTCCTGCAAGAAAACAACAACACACATTTTACTGAAAACATGAGTGGGACACAAACTTATAGCTATAAAGTCTCTGTGCAGCACACCCGTTTGACGCTCTGTATTAAAACTACATTCATTTGCGTTTTCTCTATTAAATAAAAAATACATTC